CCACCTCTTCCAACGAAGCCTTCGACTGTGATGCAATGATGGACTGGGTGCTGGTTGGAAGCGGCTGGACCAGATAGTCCTCATGAAGTTTTCCGGTACATCAGGCCCTGCTAGTTGCTTCAGGTGCCATAAAAAATGTGAACGTGTTCTATCACCTAACTCTTCGCGGGTCAGTAAATGCATGACTTTCTTTTCTCGTGACTCTGTTAACCTCTTCACAAATTCCGTCTTTATCCGCTCATATTTGTTAACTATAGATGGGTCAATAATTATATCCTCGACTTTCGCTGCATAAATTGGGCCAAGATTGGGTCAAGATTGCTGATTGTGTGGTGAAATTTCGTAGTATCCGTGGTAATGTTAGCCAGCACAAATTGACTTTCAAGTTGAGCAAACCACAGCCGGGTTTTGTGGGTGGTCATGGCGGCGCGCGTATGCCCACGCGGCACAAATCACCCGCCGGTCCGGCCTTATTTTCAGCACCGCCGATGCTACTGCCTGCACCATCTCTTTTTCCCTTTTCACTCATGGCGTGTACAGTTCGGGGTCACGAATGTTACTGTGTATGAGGTTTGATAAATTAATAATCTATTTTTACACTTATATTTTTTATTCCGCTGGGTACACAGTAATGACCCAGTCTAACAACAGCACAATACAGAAGTTACGAATGAGAAGATAGGAACACAGTAAAATACGGAAGGAAGAATTTAACAACACAAACTGCGTAAGCGTGGGTCTTAGGCTAACAAGAGGTATAGGACACATGCGACGTGCAACGTGGAAGCGGACGAACTGGCGATCTCGTTGTCCCGAAGGCGCGGCCCAGCGACCGAACCAGTACATAAAAGTGCACGGCGCGTGTCTGCTTGTACGTAAATTATTTATCAATAGGTAACATTATACAAAATTTAGACATTTTTATTAACATTTGTATCATTAACAATTAACAAAACATACATTAACGATAGCTTAAAAGTTAAGTATACAATACGAATATTTTTGAATGTTCAACCTTTAAATATAATATATAAAACTCGCCACAAAGTCAATGAGAAGTGAAAGAATTAAAAAGAATAAAATAATTTTCACATAATAGCTCTTGTAGTTCGTGCTGAAGACGACGAAGAAGAATTAAGACCTCGACTTCAAAAACATTTATGTAGAAATTATTTTAGTATTTTATGATCTTTAAAGTCATTTTTTTTACTTTTTTTTTAAACTTTACTATTTTGACACTTGTGAGTGGAATTAGAAATGTTATAAGCTTGCAACATTAAAACTTAATCGCCTATGAGAAAAAGTTAACAAATATCTAGAAGAAAAAGTATTAGACCTAAGGATTCTTGGAATGAAATTATATGGGACCACTACTATAGTATAAACTACCTCTCAGGCTAAACAGCTTGGCGTGCTCAGCAGAGCGGGACAGTATTCCATGCCGGCACACCGCCTACAACTTTACAAGGCGCAGGTTCGGCCGCATATGGAATACTTCCCATCTCTGAGCTGGGGCTCGCCCAGTGCCAGCTCCTTCCACTTGACCGCACCCAGCGCATAGCACACTTTTTATTGGTCGATATGACGTTGACCACGCTGACGCTCAACGTGATTGGTTCGTCAGCTGATTCTCGTAGTCTATTGGGTTCGCACGTATCATTCGACTACCGTACACTTGAGAGCAATTTTAGTGACAACTTTTTATTGAATAAAACTATTATTTACGGATTTTATCGCGTTTAATTACATTAATTTATTTTTATTATTCTGACGTTTCGGGTGCTTTACAGCACACATGGTCACGGGGGGGGGGGGGGGGCACGTCGAGGGAAACGTCGGGATAATAATTCTTACAGCTGGTGACAAGTATGCTGTTCTGACATTTACACCATGGTCGGTTTTGTTGTTTTTTATGGTGCTATTTGTTATAGCCTCGTTGGCATTCTGCTTCATGGTCAGTGTTTTCTTCTCAAGAGGTAAGAGATTTTTTACTATACTCTATTTTTATTTTTAATCTGTTCTATTCCAATTTTCTATGAATATACTACAATATACCGTGGTAGAGCCATGCTGCAGCTATATTATGGTATACAAATGAATCGACTCTACTGGGGTAGAAACACGATCTCACAGAGTACCCGCGTAAAGTAGCAGCTTAATGCTGCTGCGTTTCGTATGGTGAGTGTAGAAAACCGGTGACCCCTTTTTACTGGAAATGAGGCATTCTGTCTTAGTCCTCGGGGTTGACAACGCATTTGCATTTGATTCTCAATTGAGGATAAATGTCAGGATAATAAGAATAAATTAAAGTAATTAAACGCGATAAAATCCGTAAATAATAGTTTTATTTAATGTGTAGTGTTCGCGTAAATTTAAGAAATCATTATGACAACTTTTTAATTAGTTTATTTTTGTTAATTGTTGTTTGTGTATTTCTTGTTGTTAATTATTTTTTTTTTATAATTTGAGCATTCGGATTTTGGTCTAAATATGCAGTGAAGAAAGAATTCGGTGTTAAATAGACAATCGCGACAAATGGTCTGTTCAGCGTTTTGTTACATGAAAAAATTAGGTATTGCGAAAACATAATAGACGTTTATAAACAGACTGCTGAGGCGACTAATGTCTACGTAGCTACTGTACGACGTATAGTTACAGGAGTTGACGACTCAGAATTTCGAATAAAAGTCAGCGAAAATATTCAACTCTGAATTGAAATAACAAAAGTAACTAATAATTTTGGCCGACAGTGTACCTACGCTGGCTCAACCCCCACCATACTTCATCTGTACACACGTTTCGTGTCGGCAACTATAATAATATAATATAATATATACTACTATACTTTATTACTTTAATTTAAAAAAAATGTTTAATTGCATCGAAAAAAAACGATAACTTCTGAGAGCCGGGTACATCATCGACCATAAAAACATCCTCGTCAATGATAAAGTAATAAATCAGGCAGCTTGCCCGCCCATTTGGTTTAATTAGCTAAAATACCCATTCGTTATCAGCTAGCTAGATTACTGAATATATAGTTATCAGGTTCGTTCGTGGAATACCCAAAAGTAAAAAATAAGGAAAGTACATTGAAGTTCGTTCTTACATACGTGCTGGCTCATAATCTGTTTTAGCAGGTTTTCTGATAAATGAACAATTGAGACCCTGAGGATAATATTAAAACACCAAACTGTCTCGTTACAAGCAACTGGAATAATGGTTGTAGGTAATGGTGCTAGCGTTTTTTTTTATAGAATAAAGAGCGACAAACGAGCACACAGTCTACCCGATGGTAAGGATGCTGTAGCCCATAGAAATCTACATTTATCCTCGATTAAGAATCAAAATGCAGATGCGTTTGCAGCTATAATTGAGGTGGCACTTATCAAGTGCTTTTAAGAGTTTTGATTACACTAAAGAACGTGGTGTACGATTCGTTGGTGCTACGAAATGGGATTCGATCTTCATTACGTGGTCGAGCCAAGCTGGAGCTATATTATCATTCTAGCAGAAATAGGTCGACCGGGGAAGGACCACGCTTTCACGGAATACCAGCGTAAAAAGAAGATAATTACTACTACTACTTTAGTAGAAACAAGATAATTAGTGAGTTTGCGGTAAGACTGCCGGCCACAGCCTTTTATCAAAAATGGCTTAAGATAGCTGCTTGACGTGATGGTTCCCTCCATTTAGACTTAGATATTATTATAATATAATTATTTTTTAATTTTTAAGCTATTGCATAGCTTCTATCGCGGGCCTTGAGCGCGGGGACCGAATCCAGAAATTCTGTAACGAAAAAACCTCACGCTCCCCACTCCGACGGGCACGGAGGTGTGGCGTTGAAAGCCGTGCATCGTCTAACGTCGTTTCAGTTCGGCAGACTTCGGCACGGTGTTTGTGTGCGTGCGACTAGTCGTATGCGTGTACACTAGCTGCTAACTGAATGATAAACATTCCTGAATAACCTACATGTATTGTAAGATATTAAAAATATTTTAAACAATATTAACTTCTCATTTATACAATAAGAGAAAAAAAATTGTTTTCTTATCGGTCACCACGCTCAAAAAGAGTAACTTGATTTAATATCAAAGACTTAACTGCATAAATAAAATAAATAATTAATTATAATTGCATAAGTTGATAAAAAATGCCATGCAATAGCTTTACCGCGGCAGTCCCCGAGTGCCACACGTCTTTTAATAATTCTGTACTGTATTGTCTTTTTTTTTGTTGGTAATTTATATGGGTGCAATGTGCCTGAAATAAAGAGAACAGAAAGAAAGAAAGAAAAAAGCAGCTTAGTGCTGCTGTGTTTCGTATGGTGAGTGTAGAGAACCGGAGACCCTTTTTACTGGAAACGAGGCATTCCATCTAAGTCCTCAGGGCTTTTTCATTCAGGATCCGTAATTGAAGATAAATTTAGATGTCTATGGGCCACGGCGTCCACTTACCATCAGGTGGACGGTCACCCTTATTTTATAAAAAACACCTACACTACACATACCACAGTTGAAGAAGATAATTTCATATACATCACATTTAAAAAAAAACTCGAATACAAAAAACTGAGTTGTTAATCTCCTCCTATTTGAAATCTGCTAAAACATTTACTAACATTATAAATTATCGTATTTATTATTCGCATTTGTTTTCTAGATCTCGGCAGCAGCGCCACCTACCGGGTCGAATTGAATTTTTAAACCATTCAAAATCTGAGACAAACCTAAAAGAGCTTACAATATTATGTTCTGAGATGTATCTTGTAAATATTGACCTTGAGGTCATTACACTTAACAAATTCCTAACTTGCTATCTGTTAGTCATATCCCCACTACCTAATTATAGAATCAAGCATCTCATTTTGTGCATCATTCTGTTATTCAGTTTAAGTTGTCATATTATGTTGTCATATTCATGTTAAATGTTTCTGATAAATAATATATCCTGAGAAATTTAGTTTGTTTATAGTGATGCTGTGTGCGACAGTAAATATGTGGTCGAGGTTATTTTTACTGTTAATTTTCGGTAAGTTAAAAGCAAAGTCAAGTTTAAATATCTATTTAATATCTACTACAAGTAGGTAGTACGACTCATTGTCTACTTCCGTCCGTTTAGGTAGGTTATCTTTTTCTGCCGCCAAATGGAAGTGTTTGCGTAGCTGCGCCGGTCTGAAGAGGTTATTCCGTTTATCCATCCTAAGAAATCCACCCTAGGGTGGATACTCGGAATCGCGTGTTCATTTATCCACCCCAGACGGGTTAGATGATCGGTCATCATCATTATCATCATTACTGCCCTTCACAAGTCCACTGCTGAACATAGGCCTCCACCAAGGTATGCCACAAAGCACGGTCCTGAGCCACCTGCATCCATCGACTTCCTGCATGTCTTACCAGGTCCCGTCGCCCTCACTTCACCTACCGGTACGAGGCTGCCACTCGAGAAACCTTCTTCCCCAACGGTTGTCAGTTCTTCGAGCTATATGGCCGGCCCATTGCCACTTCAGCTTACTAATCCGTTGGGCTATGTCGGTCATTCTGGTCTCACGGATATACTCATTTCTAAGTTTATCACGTAGAGAAACTTCGAGCATAGCCCTCTCCATAGCTCACTGAGCGACTTTGAGCGTCCTTATACGGCCAGCAGTGAAGGACCACGTCTCGGTTCCGTAGGTCATCACTGGCAACACGCACGGATGATCGGTGTTCGAATATTATTTTTCTTCTGATTTCCATCATCGGCAGTGATTTATAAAAACATGATAGACATTAGCGTACTTATAAAAATACATACATACTTATTGTTTTAAGTTCAAAACTGAAATACTTTTATTCAATTACATATCATTAATATGTGACATAATTTACGTCATTTTGGAGATATCTTATGATGAAAGAAAAGTTTTACTGCAAGTAGTATAATAAGTCTATGACTGCTATTAATTTAAATTATATTTTGTTGACATAGGTATTTAAATTTAATAAATATTTTGCTATTATATAAACACAGTATTAGAAATAGTACGGTATTTCACAAATATTAAAATGTCTTTTATTGAGAGACGAATTTACTTATACTTGATATACAATAATTAAGTATACTCAATAATGAAATTAGTGTTGATCATTTCCTGGACATATTGCAGAATGTATTAATCCTGATACTAATTAAAAAATACTAAAGATACTAATTATTATCTAAGACAAGTTTAATTTGGTTTAATATGATTTTGAAGTGTGTGGTTATTACAAATTTATCAATAATATGTCAAAGTATGAACATATTTTCTGTTGTACTGTACTTGGGGTGGAAAGGCGAAACAATAATCTAAAAGTAAATTCCGATTATCCACACCGTCTGTGGTGGATAAACGAACACGCGATTCCGAGTATCCACCCTAGGGTGGATTTCTTAGGGTGCATAAACGGTATAATCCGTCTGAACAGTACAGGGAGCTAATTTAATTACAGACTATGAGGCTTTCCATCTTAGTTCTCCGTAGTGCCAACATCCAAGCCAAACATATGTAGCCTTTTTTGTACAAAGTTGGCAGTAGATGTCCATAGACTACTGGTGAACTGTAATTTTGTTTGTTACTTCAGCTTCATAAACAAATGTCATAACGCTGCGGTATGCATTGAGTTATTGTATATTGAAGGTTTATAATGAAACGTCTGTGGAATGACAGCGTAAAAGAATCCTCCTATATCACCCAGTGGGTATCGTAAGAAACGACATAATCTTTTCTCTGTATTAAATGATCCGACGTCTCCTTCTTGTCTTATATAGGATAAGGTGATAAACAAGCACACAGTCCACCTGATGGTAAGTGATTGCTGTGACCCATAGACATCTGCATCTATCTTCGATTACGAATGAAAATGCAGATGCGTTGACACCCGTGAGGACTAAGATGGAATGCCTCGTTTCCTGTAAAAAAGGGTCTCCGGTTCTCTACACTCACCATACGAAACACAGCAGTATTAACCTGCTATTTTACGCTGGTATTCTGTGAGAGCGTGGTCCTTCCCCGGGCGAGCCGACCCATTCGTGCTACAACTATACTACTAACGTAACTGCAGCATGGCTCTACCACGCATAAAATTTCTATTTTAAAGATAACTCATCTTAAAAGTATTCAACTTGGTGGAGCCACGTGTTTAAGGCTGCCGAAAATCTAGTTCCCCGGTCAAACCTCAAACCTATTACGCGAGATATTAACTAAAGTGGACTGTATATGCGATTGCTTCTACGCTTACGTAAAGCGACTACTATAGTATGCGGTACAATGCACTCGCTCTTCCCTAAACTAAACTATTACTTGTCGAATCGATGAAAGGAATCCTGCTTGACTAGGAAAAAAACACAGATAGGAGCGGGTTAAACCATTAGCAAGCAGGTATAATTAAGGAATATTGACTCACCGGGGCTTCTTCTTCCTGTCGATCACTATAGCGGCGACTTCCGGAACACTCCGGAGAGAGGCGGTGCGCGACGATATCTCACACGAGGTGAGGCGGGTTCCTGGAGCTCGACTGCTTCCAGGCCAAAGCGGTTTCCACTAGTGAGGTGTTTCCAAACGAGCGCGCGGGAAGAGGAGGTTGTAGTTCAACGACGACTGCGGCGGGAGAAGAGGCTCGCGCATCGGTCGCGCGTGTCTTATATATCCTCGGCTCGGGTGATTACGCGATGTTCTAGAATCGTCTTCTTTCCCCTCCCACTCCACCACCCCGATGTGTCGATAGGAGGGTACGAATGATATTGTTTGGAAAGGAAATAATGATTCTACAAGTTCCTACCGTCAAAAATAAAAAACGCGAATGGTTTTCCGCGCAACCATCTCCCCCGCCCTTGAAGGATTTCCTTCAAAAAAAATAACTAAACAACTAGAGCTAAGATCGACTAACAAATAACTAACTAACGCTAAGATTACCTAAATTAAACTACAATTTCAGTCTAGAAAGCTAATTTAAATTATGGAAGAGGCAAGGGGCACAAACGGATAACCGGACGTAGGTAAGACCCAACCGTGGTCTTAACGCGAGCTATCCTAATTACTCCGTCGGAACCGGGAAAGACCTCCTCGACGATTCCTAACGGCCAGTGGAGAGGCGGCGTATTCTCCTTAGTGAGCACAACTACGGTTCCTACAGCTAAAGGCTCTGTCGCTGTGTTCCATTTTTGCCGAGACTGCAAAGTATGCAAGTATTCCATCCTCCATCGTTTCCAAAACGATTGCACTAACCGATCTAATAATTTGTGGCGTGTGGAAATGCTAAGTCTGTTCTCATCCATATCCGCGGCGGGCAGATACCTTAGAGGCGTTAAAGTCAAAAAATGTGCTGGAGTTAGAGCCAGCGGTTCCGAGGGGTCACTAGATAACGTCCGACAAAGTGGGCGGCTATTCATTACGCATTCAATTTGAGCGAGCACTGTACTTAGCTCTTCGAAGGACAAAATTTGATCTCCTATTACTCGGTATAAGTGGCTCTTTAGACTTTTAATATTAGTCTCCCAATTGCCCCCAAAATGACTCGCGGCTGGGACGTTCAGAGACCACTCAATGCGGTTCTCGGCTAGAATGTGAGCGAACTCCGAATTATAATACTTGCTAGCTAAGAGCTCATGTAGTTCCGATAGAATACGTTTTGCACCGACGTAGTTCGTACCGTTATCCGAATATAATCTACTTACAGGGCCTCTGCGCGATAGAAATCTTTTAAATGCACCCATAAAGCCTGCTGTGCTTAGATCACCAACGAGTTCTATATGCACTGCTCGAGTAGTTAGACATACGAAAATGCAGACGTAAGCCTTTGTGGATCTTATACCACGCCCGCGAGTGAGCGTGACCTTAAACGGACCAGCAAAATCAGACCCGGTGTGCGTGAAGGGCTTTACCGATTGTATCACTCTACAAGATCTAAGTTCCGCCATTTCCGGAAATGACGGCTTGGGGCGTGCCCGAAAGCAAGCTATACATCTGTGCACCCGATTGCGTATTAAACTACGTGCAGAAAGAATCCAATAATTCTGACGCAAGATCGACATCAATAAATCGGGGCCAGCGTGCGAGTTCAATTTATGATGATAATCGACTAATAAGTTCATGATATGGTCTTTACGCGGTAAAACTATAGGGTGCCGTTGGTCGAAACTCAATTGCGAGTTGGACAAGCGTCCACCTACCCTTACAATCCCATCCTGTAAAAATGGCTTAAGGCGTTGAAAGGCGCGACTACAAGCTCTATTCGATTGTAATCTTGTAATTTCTTCAGAGAAGTGCGCACGTTGAAGTTCACGTAATACTAGCGACTCGGCATAGTTGTAATCGGATGCTAAGACATACGGACGTCGCGGTAAAAGCTTCGCGAATCGACAAACGTAAATTACGCTACGCAATAATTTCGACCAAGAGGACAAGCGGTTCGCCAGAGCAATGATTGGAGAAACCTCGCTCGAAACGTTCGCCACTAGAGCGTGTCTCTTCTCTTCCGGCGGTTGTGACACTGACGAAGGTTCGAAATCGGTTATTGGCCATTGTGAGGGATCCAAGTGAACCCAAGAAGGTCCATGGAACCAAAGCGGGTGGTCCATTATTTGCATCGGGTTGAGTCCCCGGGATAGACAATCGGCAGGGTTTTCCTTACCGGACACGTGATAAAAGTTCCGCGTTTCTAACTCGTCTTGGATCTTGGCCACTCGGTTCGCGACAAACGTATCCCAACGGTGGGGTGAAGAATGAACCCAACATAAGGCGACGGTGGAGTCGGAAAAGGCAAATATTCTTTCTATGTGAACTCTATCCCTACATGCGCCGATAACTGTGGTAATAAGCTTGGTGAGTACTAATATTGCGCAAAGCTCTAAGCGCGCCAGAGAGACAACCTTACGGGGGGAGACTCTCGACTTAGAACTAATGAGGCTAATCGAATTTCTACCATTATTCTGGACATGGAAATATACAACGCCCCCGTAAGCCTTCTCGCTGGCGTCTGCAAATCCAACAACCGTTATGCTGCTAT